TGATGAATAATGCACATCCTATGGGCCAGATGCCTTGGGAGTGAAATAGGGCACATCTTACAAGCGAGGTGCATAGGAGAAAATGCGAAAGCATAGACACCTGCAAGCCTGTGATCCATCTTTCTTCTGTACAAGAAAGGAAATGTTACACTTTGAGGTAGAAACAGTCAGCTGCGTTTCTGCACATTACAGTCGATTGGCATAAAGAATGAACACCCATAACCAATTAGTAACGACGTCCTCGCCGCATATGTTAGAACCACCACCTGTTAAAAAGACATCCCGCCGCAAAGCACTTTGAATCTCTACAAGAGAGACCACCGACAGATATAAGTTCCATCGTTCCAGGCATACCTGGCCACACACTGTTAATGGTTGGTTAGTGCAAGGGCATGAGAGCTTTGCCCAAACGTACGGACAAAAATGTGGGTGTGTCCTAACTATTCCATTAGGAGCAATACGCCCCTAAGTAAATTGAATCCCCTCCACTCATCGGGAGTGCCTGTACCGCCGATCCCTGCGGCAGCGGGTGGATCCACGCCTATCCTTCAGCTCCAGGCGCTGTTCCCCGACGGGCACGCCATCAGTGTTAGCTTTCATGGGATTATGTGCGAGAGCCTGCAGCTCCAGACCGATCCGTCGAAGATGGGTTTCTTTCTGCCTCTGCACAAACCACCATACAGAGTTACGCAACACACAACAGACAACACGCACGGAGGCAAAAGGCCAACGCGCACGGGCTATCAGAAAATGTGTGGGGAAGGTAAGAGCCTAGGGAGTCGACCCAAAGCATATAGTACACAAACACAGCAATCACGATAATCATAGCAGCTGTTGAAGCCGCCGGAGCTCCTAGGGGATGCTGCTGCACTGCTGCGAGGCGCAATTGGCATCAGATTGTTTAACATAGCAACGGCATAACACGACCGACCGATGGGCCTTCGCTTGCTTCCCTTTTCATGGATGAGGTCGCCATGACAGCAGTGCCATCAACACCTCAGAATGCATAAAAGGAGGTGTAGAGACAGAAACGGCCGACAAAGGGGAACAGCAAAGGGACAGAGGACAAGGAGTGTGTCCTTTTCTGCTTTCTTTTTTGCTTCATTTAAACCACCAGTACACCCGGGCCGGCAGGCCCCTGACTGCGCACCAAGCTGTTCTGAACCGCCAGCGGCTCACATATTTTCTTTTTTGGCTGTCGCCGCCAGCCATTGTGGTCGGCCTCCGAAATCTTTGTAGGCTACGAGTTTCTTTTTCAGCAAGGCTGGGGCAATGTACTAGCAGTTTATGCCGCCAGTCGGTACACGCCCCAGCCTTGCTGAAAAGAAAACCCGTCGCCCATCCAGAAAAGTCGGCTCCAGCGCGTCGTCGACAAATCGATGGCCGGTGTCGCTTTTCAGCCTCTGACACGGCCCCCGGTCGATGTGAGGCATGTACTGGTGGTTCAAGGAGCTAGTTCCCACAACGTTGGCCATCAATACCGAAGGGAAAGAAATCTGGCGACAGTCATGGGCAAGGGACGAAGAGTGTGAGGGGGACGTTTTGTTTTACCTTTTCCCTTTTCAGAGGAGGGTGGTTATCAGCAAAGGGGTCCAGTTTTTCTTCTTTGCAAGAAAGAGGAGGTTCTCACAATGGCGACAAACTTGAACAAGTCAGCAAGGGGCGCTCAGAGACGGGAGCTTCGTGGATTGGCAGCATCCACACAGTGCTACATGCGAGAGGCAGTGTACAGAAAGGCATGTCAGAGGGAGGAGGTAAGGGGTCTACTTTTTCCCTAGGCAAAGGAAGCTGCCACAGGGATTCTGTCAAGACATCCGAACCATACGATGAAGTTCAGAGGTAGGGATCGAAGTCCAGGAGCAGGGGCTCCTCCATAAAGGCGTTAACACACTTAAGAGGCAGGCGGAGCAGGAGGAGGAGAAGACGTCCCATTATTTCCTTCACTTTAGGAAGCAGAGGTCCTGCAACAGCAATACGTCTGAGATACTTGATAAATAGTAGTGGTGCACTGAAAGACAGGAATGGGAGACCAAGGGAGGAGGCGAAAGAGGAGGAAACGTTGGACTGTTTGATAGGGGAAAGGACAGGAAGATGGGAGACAAGGGGAGAGCCAGGGACTCTTAGATGGCCTAGCGAAAATATGAACTAGGAGGTATTTGGTGATGAGGGAGGGATACATCCTCATGTTCTTCACTATAAACACCATCCCTATCATCATCATCATCATCATCATCATCAACCCTACCACCACCAGGAGTAGCAGTAGATGTTGATGCTATTTTGTCATAAGAGGGTATTCCATCACCACCTTTCCTACCCTTCCTCCGCTCTCTCTCTCTCTCTCTCTCTCTCTCTCTCTCTCTCTCTCTCTCATCACCACTATGTTATCATTATCGCAATGATGGCAAGCACAGCTGCGCAGAGAATGGGGCTGAGCCATGCATTTCTAACAGAGATGTCGAATCACCTCTCTGGACGCAGAGATAGGTAAACACTGCAGGTCTGCTACTGTCTTCACCCGAATAGAACGCCAGATCATTATGCCTGTATTTGGGGCATCTTTCAGTCCAGGTGCAGAAAAATTGACCATACGGTCATTCGGGGGAAGAGGATAGCTCAAGAAAGATGCAGTGGCACAAGGTCAAGAAGGTCTGCAGCTTGGCACCTTCTTTTCTAAAAGATTTGGGTAGCTTCTCAAAGACACCACACTAAAGTCGATCGGGCAAATAATTCAATCTCGGCATCGCCTCCACCAAGATACGGAGTCTCCAATGGCAACTTGCATACCTAGCACTTCCAGTCAACCAATGGTCGAATAAAAGGCGCAGTACGCAGTCAAGATCCCCCCTACAGGAACTGTGAGCCATCTGCCAAGAAGACCTCGTGGAGGATATGGAACACTGTTTATTGTCCTGCCAAAAGGCCAAGCGGGTCTGGTCCCACGCGGCTGAGCTACGCCACTCAATAACAGGCAAAACCCTGCCATCGGACCTAGTCCCCACCCTCCTAGGACTCCACACACCCTCCGCCTGGCTAAACTACGAACACACATTCTTCCACACACTAAGAGTAGCCACCCTCTGGATGATATGGAAACGACGACGCCAAGAAGCAATCGGCCACACGACAATGGCAAGCCAAGAAGCGTGGGAGGGAGTATTACAACTAGTGGAAGTGGAATACAGAGGACGACGGCACAAAACAGTCGCAACCATTGAAAGGAACATAGAAAACAAAGACAAAATAATAAAGCAATTCACAAAACAGAAAATGGGAGATGGGAAAATAGCAACAATCGTCAACAACAGAATACTATTCGGACAATGGAGACAAAGCAATATACAAGAACCAACGATCTTGGAGATACCAGGGAATATAGCATATACCCCAAGTGCGGCAATAGACGCTAGCTAAAACCCAAGCATAGATCACCAAAGGTAGGGGAAAGCACGACAGAAGACAAAGATGACTCCTCGACGACACAATCAGAACAAGGTTATAAGAACAAGGGTTTAGGGTTTAGACAGAGTCAAGGGTTTAGAGGCTAGACAGAGTAAGGGCAAGTGAGGTAAAGATAAACCGAGGATAGACAGACAAAAGTCCGGGATTCAGACAGACTCGGGATAAGCATGGTTCAGGATTCCGGAATCCCAAAAAGTCCACAAGAGCCCCAGACCGCTCTAGCATAAAACACCGACCCGACAGCAATTACAGCTGAGAGGAGCAGGACTGCAGAATCGTAAGTGCTTTTCCATATGAGCAGCCACGAATTTGGTTGATAACTTCACGTTATACAATAATATGTATGTATATTACAATCACACAACAAATCAAATGAAAATATTTGAATTGAAAATTTTAATTTGCTTAGAATGGATTTCCTAAATATGTCTTGTCAATTAATAGTAGCTTATATAATTCAATTAGGAATTTATATAGGAGCTTTAGCAGTCTTTTTTTTTAATAATATCGTATATGCTGCCATATCTTTAGCGCTAGTTTTAAGCTCGTACTTTTTTTTTGATGCAGACTTCCAAACGGATCAGCATGGGCCAACCAGAATAAGCAGTGCAAGCTAAGTTAAGCAAGGGTGAGGGGGGGTACATCCTTCCACACGGAAGTAATCAATGCCGTCCACTCGGGCCTCCCAGCCATAATGGGGAGGAGCGTGGCGTGAGTCTCCGATGTATTCCATATTGACTTGCCGGAAGAATAGGAACCGGACTGTCGCTCCCCAGAATGGCCGGAGCCCGAACCGTGAGGTCCTGTTTTATTTATTTAAAAAAAAAAAAAAAAAAAAAAATCAATCTCGGCCATTGAACAGGCCGACAGGGACACGGGTAGCAAACCACACAACATTTCGGTCCAGTCCAATATAGCCCATCGTGCCATAGCAGCGGATGATAACCAACAGACGACGAACAAATCAATAGAAAAGTACGGACTCGACCTGAAGTTCACTATCGCTATCCCTTGCGGGATTTGAACCCATGTCTTTGCCATGAAAAGGCAATGTACATGTCCTCCAACATTGCGGAGAAAACACTGTTGAAGAGCTATATGCTTTCGAAAACACTGAATGAAGACGACGAGGAACGAATGGCGGGACTCGCAAACGACTCTCTGGAGCAAATGATGCTCAAGACATAACCTTGTTGCATAAAACGATGAGAAACAGATTGCACAAACGCCAGGCAGAACAGTTGGGCTCTGTGTGAGAGCAACTGAAGATGGATGCACCTACCAGGATTCTGCCGATACGGTCGATATGCTCACGGCATTCAGCAACTTCTTGCTTCAAGGAGTACACATCAATATTCACACCGCTTTGGAGATTGAAGCTTTCAGCAAAATCCTCTCCGGCCGTCGAACTCGTACCGCCCACTGATTGTTTCCTCGAACTCTCGCCGACTCCACCAAAGTACAATGACCGGCTGCTCGTCTCTCCTCTGCACAAAGGGTAAACAGGCACACACATACACATTCCCATCTATATGAAAAAGTGGGCAGGCAAAGACCAAGTTTACCTCCAGCACAGCACAGTCAGAACTGTCCCCTGTCCATACAACCCCCTAGACACAAGTCCCATCTGGTACTGTACTGGTGAAGTCACCCCCAACGCTTGCACCGTTGAGAAACCTTTCGAGTTTGAAACCATTTCCTACACCTTGGATTTCCTCAGGTGTCCCAAGATCTGTGATGCAACCATGCCACGATTGCTATCGTCAAGTCAAGTCGTCGGAGTCTGCGAGTTGTCGACGTCTTCATTGTACCGGTACGTCTCTCGTCTCTGCTGGGTGTAAAGTTCTGTGTGTGATTTTTTTCTAAGTTGTCAGGCCGGTACGCATGACCTAACACTGAGGATCAGCCCTATCGGAGGCGCACGCGCTTTCTGAACCTGGTCATGTTTCAGCAGGTAACCGGACGCGGGGATGGCATGCACACAGCCTGATTCATTTGGACAAGGGGTGCCGTGTTCAAGTCCGGATCGTAACTATGGTTTGAACTTACAAGGACATAACAGGTAAGAGTTTGGGATCGAGGATTTTCCACCAAGTCCAGAGTAGGCCTGATTTTCAGCAGGTAACCGGAAGGGGGAACCAGCATACCAGACTGCACCCACAGCATATTCCGCTAACATTCATCTGGTGGTCAGGGGTAATTACAGACCAAGCTGAGGCCATCATTTCCTGCCAAGAGGTTCAGCACAGCAGGCTATAGGCGCACCACCGTAGACAGTACACAAGTTTTGAGGAGAGAGGCAGGGGAGGCTGTGCAACCTACCAGTCCAGGGAGACACGAGGAGCGGTGGGCCCCAAGCGCGTGGAATGTGACGACCTCCCTGGCTATGGCGGGAGGTCAAATTGTAGGAGGCGCTCGGAGGCTGTGGCGGATAAGACTGGGCATCGTCTTCTTCAACCGACACCCATGCTAGGGTCTACAAAGGCCAGGGTAATCGACTCTGCGACCTGCAGTGGAGCTTCGGACTTGCATCGACAAAGGACAATGGAAGTGGTAATTACCCGCAGCTATGGTGGACTTCGGACCCCTTTTTCCTTGAATGATGCTAATGATGCTTGAACATGGAAGGCCGTGGACACCCTCCAAACGTTCTTCGACATGGAAGGCCGTGGACGCCCTCCAAAGTCCCCACGTGTGAATGGTCTGGAGGTGTTATCTCATTGTAGGAAGTAATGGCTGGCAGCTATGGTGGACTTTGAAGCCATGCTCTTCACTTCGCTGAGTCGCACTGGTCTGATTTTAGGGTTTACGGAAAGTGTCATCTACGTGTGCCAATAGTCTGGAGGTATTGGCTCATTTGCTAATGGTCTGGAGATGTTATCTCATTTGCTAATGGTCTGCACACCAGAAAATGACAAGAGAGGGAATTCAGAGTGCGACTTCGGCCAGACGGAAGGAAGCGTGAGCGTAAAACGCGATGTATTCAATTTGACTTGCCGGCGGAATAGGAACCGGACCGACGTTGCCCAGAATGGAAATGGAGCCAGGGCCATAAGGACCTCCTTATTATTATTAAAAAAAAAAAAAAAAAAAAAAAAAAAAAAAAAAAAACAGAGTGCAACTGCATCCTGGAGAGTGGTAACGAGGGGGTTGAAGCTTCAACAGGATGAGTTAGTTCTCAACAGGAGATGGTAGACTGATCTTGTGACTTTGATAAATCTTTGCTCATTCTCTATTATTAAATATCATACTTGCGTCGCATTCCATGCCCGGGGGTGCCGTACATGCGGAGCGCACGCGCGTGCACGTGATGCGGCGCAAAAACAAAAAAAAAATGAAAAGACAGTATGCGGTGGCAAAACATTCCCCTCGCTTCTAAAAACCAGAAAGCAAGCGGGAGAAAAGTCGGGGGCATGCCATACCCCAAAACTGTGGGCACATATCTATGCATGTGAGTATTCATGTCCTAATTGTGTCCAGCCTCTTTTCCAAAGGATCCCTACAGCGTATTAGCTAGGACCCCAGGTGGAGCAGAGGTACACTTCAAACTTAATAGTTTGTAAGCGTGGGCAGAGAATATACAGTCTGGATTTGAATTCCGGTCCGTGCATCTCGGTTATGGGTCACCATTTCTCTTTTCTTCTCGTATTTCTTTTCTTAGGAATACGTGCAGTGGCCTTAAGGGCCTCTACTCACCAAATGCACAGAAGACAAAACATATGGCGGCGTATTATTCCACATTCTGCAGAAGATTCATTCTAATTTTTCACATTTCGTGAGTAGTGCAGCCAAGCCCTAAGAGTCACGTGCAGAGACCAACAGGGCCTAGCTACGTGAGCAGCCCATAACTGCTGAAACACAGACCTGAATTCGAATCCTAAGTATATATTCGGCCAGCTCGTGATCTACATCATATTCACTGCCTGCCTCGATTTTGGTGGAGGGTCTGCGCTACCTGCAAGGACCCTTCAGATGGCCTGCATGGGCCGTCTGAGCCGTGTTAAGAGGATCCATTGCTCTCTCTCTCTCTCTCTCTCTCTCTCTCTCTCTCTCTCTCTCTCTCTCTCTCTCTCTCTCCCTCCTGTATGCACACCCCTTACAAAAAAAAAAGAGTGCATCTACACCACATCAGTAATTTGTGCATGGCGCATGGCAGAAATATGCCACAAGTATGTTAAATATAGTAAAGAGAACAACAGAGCAGGAGTCGCAAAAATACACAGACCAGACTCCTTTGTCCACAGAGCAGCCGTGCCGTTACGAGTGACATCCGCAGTAGTGGGTGCGGCAGAGGTGGACGTGTAGGAGGGAGGGCAGCACGATCATTTCTGAAGACCTCCTAAAAAGTCACGCTTCTTGAAACCGTACTTTGATGCCTGAAAAGTTGGGTTGGTTGGCCCATGCGGAAGAAAAAAAAAAAAAGTCCTTCAGGACATCCGTTACAATTGGAAGGATACAGACATGATTAGCATGGCCCCTGCGCAAGGATGACACACGTAAATCGAGAAATGGTCCTAACCAAAAAAAAAAAAAAAAAAAATCTCTCTGAGACTCTCTCTCTCTCTCTCTCTCTCACACACACACACACACACACACACAAACACACAAACACACACACAAAAAAAAAAAAAAAAAAAAAAAAAAAAAAAAAAAAAAAAACACACACACACACACACTACATAACGCCTAAATTTTACAAGAAGGTACTCCAATTTTGGCAAAGAGAATGATAGCAAAACCAATCAACTCATCGGACAAACCAAAAAAAGAAAAATCCAATTACATCATCTCTTCATGCGAGTTGGTATAACAAGGAGTAGAGGCATGCATTTTGCTCAGTACTCAGCTTCACAGAAAAAACTTTCACATGGACTCTCAAGTGACTTAGGCATTTCGACTTCGGGTGGCACAAGGAGAAAAACCAAAGGAGTTGGGCGCCAAACTTTCGCATGTCTGGAACTTCGTGAAGGCCAATGGTCAAACTGGCACAGGTCTCAGAGTTGGGCTACAATGATCGGTTAGGTTTGAGACACACACCTGCTCTTATCTCTGTCAGAAAACTGTCGGAGCAGGCCAACAAGCGCCTCCTTCTCTGTCCGCCGACTGCGTACAAGTGAGCGTGTCTCGTACTCCAAAACTGCAAGTTGACTCTGCAATCTCCGCACACGCCTCCTGTGCATGGCAAGCACTTCCTGCTTCTCGCGCTTGTGCCTGCTCACCACAAGCAACATCCACAAACATCCAGATCACAACACGCCACCACCCGTACACATGACAACCGCAGGGATGCATGACACATCCCACCGCCACCTTTCTTTACTCACTAATTACAACAACAAGCTTCTGGCAACAGCACGTCAAAATGAGGACCACGGGAACACACCGCAGGAGCTGAAGCAGAAGTTTCGCAGCAGAATGAACCATGCCTACCACCCTTCTTTTTTTTTTTCTTTCTTTTTTTTTACCACTTCATGCCAACATAAAAGGAAACTCACCTTCTCGCTACGGTCCCTGTGCTTATGGTTGTCTAGTTAACCCCACTCTCCTGCCTCTTCACCAAACTTACAGATCCTACCTAGTACCTACCTTCTTCCCCCGAATACAACGCACTGTCATTATAGCCGTATCTACACTGAAAGATGCTCAAATACAGCTATAATGACCGTACGGCGTACATTGTATTCTGGGAAAGAAGGTAATATGTCACACGCAGAACTCGAGAGTGACGGAACTCCCCTATAGGCATTAGATAACCCAAGCTCTGTCAATCACCTAGCAAATTCCTCTTGCCTTTCTGAGTTGTGCCTATCCATTGTACCTGTTGCTTTTCTTTTGCCACTTGTTTTTGTTTTTTCTTTTCCCTTCCTTTTTATACCCCTTTCGCTGTACCTGGTCCCTTTCCAAACAGGTAAAGCATAGCAGGGGGGGCAAATTGTTTCCCTTTGCATCCAGCTCCTACTGGGTTCAAACATCCTCAGACAGCAGTTGAATCTCAGTCGCACAGACAAACAAATCTCAGCCCTTCATCAAGCTCAAGAGGGGGCAGGCCACACTAGTTAACACAATGCAAGTCCGCCTCCACCACAGTAGCTCATGACAGATCTGCCTGCCCATCTTCACGCAATTAAAACACCCGATCATTGTGGCTCTATTTGGACCAGCTTTCAGTCTAGATGCGGAAGATGATGACGTGCTGAGGTGGAAGATGAGGAGTTCCTGCACTAGAAGCGGTAGAAGAGATTGATGGGACATTGCAGATATTCTAACAATCTTGCTCTTCTTCTTCGCACCGTATTGTTGTTTGATATTACAGCGAGTTTACATCCATTTTGAGGGTTTTGTGAATTCATGCGTGATGAAGAGAAATGCTCCTGACCACATTCATTCCACAAATCTAAATATCTATCTGAATACCTACGTAGATGCTCTCCTCCTCACTTTATCTCCGTTGTAGAAGCAAGGCCGCCAGGCAGTGACTGCCATGGAAGAGCAGCATGCATTCCTCCACAGCATAATGACAGCAACGGTGGGAATCTCTCTCTCTCTCTCTCTCTCTCTCTCTCACACACACACACACACACACACACACACACACACACACACACACCCCAGCGCACACACAAATGGTTCGCGCTCACAAACACGGCTACACTGTCAAAGATTGCTTGTTGACGTCCATCCGTTCATGTGCAACTTGCCATTTAGATGCTACAGTCTTCCCCCGAATACAACGTATGGTCATTATAGCTGAATTTAGACCAAAAGATACACCAAATTCAGCTATAATGACCGTACGTTGTATTCAGGGGAAGACTGTAGTTATTCATGGCTCACGCTCACACACACGGCTACACTGTCAAAGACTACTTGCTGACGTCCATCCGTTCATGTTTACCTTGCCATTTAGATGCTAGTTATTCACGACTTGCGAGTAATTTGGTTCCCTAACGACAGCCCAGACCGTACTTAATGAATAGACACCATTGTACAGATTCCTCCACCTCCTATGCAACTCTTACACGGAAATACACACGAATTCAGTAATCTCCTTTTCAACTTTTAAAAGCAAAAATAGTAAAATACACAACCGGCATTTTCTATTCCGGCAGAGTTCTGGATCGCTCGCATGTGTCCTACTTTTGTCAACATTGTATAACAAGCTTTTTGGTATTTAGGGTAGACAAAATGGAAGAAACGGATAACGGTGAAAGACGAGAAAAGCTATAATTGTGTTTTCTCAGACTCTGTCCAAGCCGGACAGTTGGCTTGCATCCTGTCATGTTTGCTGCATTTTCCTGTTTGAGGCCTCGAAACTGTGACCTTTGGCGTAGCAGGACAAAATGAACTACCTATACCTGTTCCACTAATCGCTCCTCGTCGAAGCCTGCAAAATACCGGCTTGAATAGCTGCAGCACATATGCTACGGAGGAAGGAGCACTTTAGTGGATGCGTTGGCAAGAGGCATGTGGATCCCAGAGAGAGGACTTGGTGGGAAATAGAAAAAAAAAGGAACAGGAAACAAGATCACAAGATCATAAATGAACAAGCAGTGTAGGCAGATAGATAATTCAATATCATATTCTCTTATGAGTCTTATGACAATATTGACAATTTCTATATATCGTCAGATATCATCAAACAGAAATATACATACACAATATCATACATATATATATCTAGAGAGAGAGAGAGAGAGAAAGGGGGGGCAAGTTAGGACGTACTCACGCCTGAACGTCTGTGCACACATCTGACCTATGGTGCAATCAAATTCACTAGTCATATTACCGTGAGTATGCCCTAATATGAAGACGAAGAAAGGGAAGGAAAGAGGCAAGGACGACAATACCCGTGATGCGGCACAGGGCATGTCTCGAGCACAAGCTCGCAGTCAAATGCATGTAAGAGGGAGAAAAGCAAGGGTCCAAGCAGAACAGGTGGGGGTTGGCAAGGCTGAGGGGTCAAAATCAATACAATGCATCCATGTCAACCCAGGATGTGGCTGAACAGTACAAATACGTAACTGTTAGGAAACGGAACAAGAGTTTGAAACCTGATGAAATCAGATGCACAGAAGAAAGTTAGGGGACGAAAATCCATGCCAGCAAGGAAGTGAATACAGTACACTGCAAGAATGGCTGGAGCGAGAGAGTTTATCAGGACACCGCAAGCACTGAAATATCCGCAAGGTAGACAACTGAGGAATAGAAAAAGATAGAATGAAGAGATAAGAAAACAACAGGTGTGAACTGCATGCAAAATAGAGGGTATGCTTCCCTGTGCGTTGCTGTTTGTGTGTGAGAGGAGAGAGGCAGAGAGAGAGACAGACAGACACACAGACAGACACAGAGAGAGAGAGAGAGAGAGAGAGAGAGAGAGAGAGTCTTACCAGGGTATTATGAGAGCTGCAGCATTCAGCACCCATCAACAACGAGACATTTTGAGAGTCGCACACGATCACGCATGGGCTTAGGTGTCATTTCGAAGACATGGAGAATGCAACTACAAGGTCTTCTGCCAAGGGAAGAGTTACACGCGGAGGGTTGAACATCCAGTAAGGTGACCACCACGCAGGGACATCTTAATGGTCATCATCATCGGCGAGAGTTTCCAAAAGGGGAGGGGGAGAGCGGAGGGGAGAGCGGAGGGGAGAGGTAGGCACTGCAATCAAGTCTGTTGTTCCCACTCAGTCCCTTCCCCTCTCGTCTCCCCCTGGCTCCTCTCTCTCCTCGCCTCTCTTCGCGCTTGGCACTCATTTCTTTAGCAACGCATTGCTGTGAAGTCTCTTCGTCGTTCCTCGCGACCCTTTCACCCCCCTCCGCTTTTCCCCGGCCTTCCCGCCTTCACCTCCCTCCATGTCTGGCACCCATTCCTTCTGCAGCACTATGAGATACGGAGAAGAAATAACCCTCTTGGGGAGAGAGCGAGAGCGAGAACGAGCACACCCACCCAATGAGATGCATCCATCTGTGCAGAACACTGTAAGAAGCCAGCCCACGACTCCGCGTGCAGTTTCAGCATGCTGCCATTCAGCGCACTGTGCATGCTGAAGTATCACCAGCACTTGAAGAAGAGGATGCCACATCATCGTTTACCCACCGCAACACTCCCAAACGGAGGGAAGCCGAAAGACCCAAACTTCAGCTCTCCTCGTCGAATCCGACATGCAGCGGGCGCCTCCACAAACTGTAGGGGATCGAGGGGTGGTACGCGCCTCTCATGCATGATGAGCAATCAGTCGAGAGTTCAAACCCTGACTTCGAAAACATAACATCAAGACTTCCCTGACTTTCAGAAGCGTCCATACACGATAAGGTCCTCGACATTTCGCCGCATGTTGCAAAGAGTGTATTCCCAACCCATCACCTCACCAATCGGCCAGCACTGAAAGAGTCCCCCGACCCACACATCCGCCTATCAAAGGGAATAGGGGGCCAGGGGGCAACATGACAGAGGCACACGCGAACACATCTGGAAGGTCTCCACTCCACCTCTGTGCACGGGTACATGACATTATCGCAGCCTCAAAGATCAATCCCCCTTCCTCCCCTCCGCATCCCCAGCGCCGACCCCAATCATTCTGGACTTCCGAAACCCCTCGTTGGCTATACTCTCAATACCAGTTGCCTCCTGAAGAGACCACCCAGCCGACAGACCACGAGCTGATCGCTCTCACCAACCGAGAGAAAGAAATGCAAGCCTGCCTGAAGAGGCTAACTGGAACACCCCCTGATTGGTTGATTAACTGGTACGCCAGTTGATTGGTTGATTAACTGGTACGCCAGTTGATTGGTTGATTAACTGGTACGGCACTCATAGTCAAAAGGAGACAGACTTCAGATCGCATCAGCACATACAGAGAGCAAGAAGAGAGTCAAACTTCATCTTGGTTCATCCACCATGCGCGGCCCATATGCCGCACAGTCATGCCCCCGCCATGCGCCGCACATCTGTCACACAGCCAAGCCCGGATGGGAGGAAGGGGGAGCAACGGTTCCCGATTCCCTTTCCAGATGCATATCCCCACATACCACATAGAGAGAGAGAGAGAGAGAGCAAGAGAAAGAATCTCCCTCCCCCCCAAGCTCTCTGTCTGTCAACAACTGCCACGCATCCGTCGAAGACACATACCCACCTATTCCCAGCCGTCTACACACCCGCTTTTGCAGGCAGCCCCACACGAATGCCATGACACTGTGCATCTCCACGAGCTTGCCACGTAGTCGACCCCCCTCCCCCCGGGCCCCCCTTCCTTCATGCTCCACCGTATGGAACAAACACAGCCCACCTTTTACGCTGCCGGTACACCAAAGACGCATTCGACTCCTTTTCTTTGGTCTGTTTTCACCAAGTCCACCGGAACGGCCGATGACCGTAGCAACAGATCACCCCAACGGAGCCACCTTTCACACGCTCAACACTGGGCCGCAGCGAACCCCAGAAAATGTACACACCCGCCACACGACAACTTGGTTGACAAGTAAATAGGATTGTTTCTCGCTTCCAGCCTACGGTTCACTGAGGCTTGGCTCTGGCAACATACAGCTCTCTCTCTCTCTCTCTCTCTCTCTCTCTCTCTCTCTCTCTCTCTCTCGCTCTGTATGTGTGTGTGTGCGTCTGTCGCAACATACATATATACACAGAACTATACAAATGCAAGTCATAAATGCCATCTCTCTGCCCCCCGAGCTCCCTCCTATTCCTCCTCCTCCTCCTCCTCCTCCTCCTCTCCCTTCTCCCCCCTTCATCGGGTAACCAAGCATACACCAAGGTAATCCTGTAGGCCACCTCTCTGTTCCGTCCCCTAGCGAGGCTGAGCAGGGTGGTGGCAGGAGATCAAGAGCGCGCGAGATAAATGACAGGGAGGGAATCTCCGAGGCTCGAACCTGTGTCCTCACAATTACCATAATCACGCAAGCACCAACCCACTCCTGTAGCTCTCTCCTCTCTCTCCCTTGATGAGGGTGCACTGGGAGTAGCTGGGATAGGGATAGCAGAACACGACGACACGGGAGTGCTGACTGATGGGGAATCGAACCCGCAACCTGCCAATCACTGTAACTTCTCAAGCTCACGCAAAGTGTCCCCATCAGAACTTTTCCATCTATCCACTCACTCATCACACGTGTCCATGCAGTCAGGTCCTCAGCTTTGACCAGCCGCTTTTGCCCAAACACACGCCTAGACGCACACGCGCGCACGCACACGCACACACACACACACACACACAAGAAATATTGCTCTGGTTAACGTTAAACAAAAAGCCAAGTGGCATGTATACAGAATGAAGCAATGAAAACACAGCAGCAGGATTGCGCAGAAACCAACAGTTCAACGACTGCATCCACCAACCGTTATACTTCCACCATGCATATAATTTACGGTCCATCATACAGTACGTTCGTTGAGAGCAACGAGCGGTGGTTACTTCTACCAACCAGAACGATGAGAACTCGAAAATCATCATGTCAATGTTTTTATCCTAAAGAAATGAATGAATTCATTAGTCTTTAGCAGCCACGTCATCATCAATAAATATCATCAGCCACGTCATCACCAATAAATATCATCAACCGCAGCATCAAACTGATCGCTCTTCATCACGCTATCGCCACGTGGATCCCCGAGATCCCTCGATTAAACCACACCCACTTCCTCCGAATTTATTTTGTCCAACCCACTCCTTTTCCTTTCTTTTCTTTTCTTTTTTTTTCCCCAACCCAGTTCTGTAGCTCTCTCCTCTCTCTCTCCTCTCTCCACCTCCATAATCACGCAAGCACGATTGCTCCCACCGACTCCAGAGATGCAGAACCCCATTCGTTGGCGGCGAAAGCATGGTGCATCTTTATTTTTTGCGCCGTCATCTTGCCATTGGCATTGCGATCCATCAGATCCAAAGGCCGAGATCCTGCACCATCCATCAGTTTTTTCGTTTTTTTTTTCCCCTCTCGCTGTCGTCCTCCGAATAGAACGCGCAGTCCTAATGAGTCAATCAATCAGTCTATAGACACAGCAGCAATAACGACCGTGTTCACTTCGGGGGGAAGACGGTAGGTCTCATCCAGTCCGCTACAGAACGGTGCCCCTACGACCTCGGCTTTATACCGGACAGATCAGGGAGTTCGTGGGGGACAGTACTGGTTTTTCTTCTTTCTTTTTTTTTTGTTGTTGTTGTTGTTGGGGG